ATTCCTATTTCATCAACATTCTACAAAAATTGCATAACATAATACAATAATAAATTACCTTTCTAACCCGACAGTTGTAGAACCTCCTACATAGATTTTCGTTAGTCATGGAGGTTAGAACATCTGACTCTTTACCGTGGTGGCACGACTTCTGCATAGAAAAATTAGAAGAACCGCTATGTTGAGAATTTTGGCTTGTACGAGACGAGGACTACATTTACAGAGGATGTTGATAGAAATTCTATGGAGCCATCAGATAATTTTCTTATGGAGCCATCTATTATTTTATGTATTGATACCTGCCCAAAGTATGGGGCCCCATGTGGGACAGCCCCACATGGAGCAAAATCATTAGGTGTTGGTTCCATAAGGGAACCAACCAGTTGGTTTTATAGCAACATTGTATGTCAACATATTATTTGTGAACAAGTGTGGATGACTCCATAAATCGTGCCGCGAATTTTGAGTTAGGGTTTAGGGTGATAAAATTGCAAAATTTTTGGGACAAAGACGATGCAAAAATTAGGACAAATTTGAAAGGGGCTCGGGTTGAATTTGGGGAAAAAAGTCGACGATGTATAGCATGTTTTTTGGGTTTTTAACACGTCATTATTCATAAACCATATGAGCGGAATTGACGGACACGCTGGCAAAACTATGATCGTCGTTTCATTTTGGGTTTTGGTTGCAAACATAAGACAAAGTTAAGTTATTCTTGATAAATTTTAAAAGTTTAATTAAAATTACCAAAAATCGAAAGGTCGAAATATTACCCGCAAATTAGGCATAGAACAATTTGGCTCTAAAATTACACCTCTGCCAGTCTGCCACATATGCCACAAAAACGGGTGTCGTCGTCCTCTTTGGTATCATCGCCGCTGCTATTTTCTTGTTTCAGCACTTCCTCAATTTATTCAACATATGTAACTCCGCCTGCTTCCCCATTCTCTTCTCGCTTTCATATTAAAGCTCCCATTTCCTCTCTCTCTCTCTCTCTCTCTCTCTCTCTCTCTCTCTCTCTCACTCAGATTCAGTGCATAGGCAGAGGATTCCATGGCTGCAATGTTGTCATCTGTTGGAACGGCGTCAGCCCCATTTTCCTTGGCAGATCACTCGGCCAAATTGTCTACCTTCTCCATATGCTCTCTCCCAGGTTCTTTCTAACCTCTGCATATAAATCCCGATTAGTTGGAAATGTTGATTTACTTTATCTTTTTAAATGTGAATTGTGATTAGTGCAGAATTGATATTTGAGTTAGCTTTTTAGAGTATGTGGTCTCAGATTGGTCTGCTTGTTTCGTTCTCTGGCTTTAGTCTATGATCTTAGAAATTTGCGTTTATTTGTATTCAAGACCCGGTGATTCTCATACTTGNCTTTTATATGTGGGTATGTTTAAACAGTTAGTAGATCTGATCGAAGCTCGATTTTGAATCCAGTTTGTAGCACTCAGATGCCTGGAAAGCTCATTACCAAGGCTGTTGCGGTCGGTGCTCGAAGTTTTACCTTCTTATTATGTTCTTTTTGTATTTACATTAGCCTGTTATGTTGGTTTTGTTCTGTTTGCACATAATTATGTGCAATAAATCTTGTTTGTCTTTTGTGTTTCTGCAGACACGGACTGAAAATTCTGCCTCAGCAGCTTCGAAACCTGGGTAAGGTTCTAAGTTCTCAATCTGTAATCATCCTATTTGTTCTTTATTCTTTCCGGTATTTGTGCGACACTTCTGGCAGCTTCGAAACCTGGGTAAGGTTCTAAATTCTCAATCTGTAATCATCCTATTTGTTCTTTATGCTTTCCGGTAGACATTTATCGATTTTTTCATTTTCTAGAGTACCCTCCCAAGTGGCAATTGATATGATCCATAAGCACTACTATAAATAAAATTTTATGAGTGGTGATGTTGTCGAATTATTGGCCCAACAAGATTTTCGATTGAACCGCCTTGTCTCGAACATCTTGAACCAAAACAGGGGACGTAAACACTCTGACGCTCAAGTCAGAAATCATGTACTCGATATATCATAACCATATAGCTTATATCGCTCATTCAGAGCGTCTGTGAGTCTAGAAAGTGAACTTGGATCCGTTATAAAGATTTAATGACTTATTTCCCAAGACAAGGGTTTCCTTAATCACCATATCTGTTTAAAAATCTTCGTGGATATTCACTTATAATACTATATATCTATATATCTTTAAACTGTAGACTCGAGTCGAATCGGACTAATATTATGTATGCTACATCATCTTGCCGCATTTTAGATGAGCTTGTTGGCTTTATACTCGTCTAAGAGTCAAACAATCATTTCTTGGCCAACTCCGTCTCTTAGAACTATCGCGTCGAGATCTTAAACCAGTTCCTGGACCTATTATTTCGGAATTTCCAATATGCCTCGACACTGCATGTCTATCAAGTAAAAATCTTCTTAAAAACTTCTCGGAGCCTTTAACTTGGGACTCTACTCAAAACAAATGACCTTCACAGAAAAAGAACCAAGATGCCGACTTCACACTCTTTATCATAACTGAAGCAAGAACTCAGCCTTGCGCTTTTATACATAGCTAGCTATATGCTCGTATAACCAATGATTTAAATACTGGCCGATAATACCGGATACCGGTACGGTACTATTACACTCAAAATACCGGATTTACGGTTATACCGGTTTGTACTGGAATCATACCGTAAATACCGAAAATTACCGGTCCAAAATACCGGTCAATAATAAAAAATAATAATAAAATAAAATAAAATTTATTAATTTAAAAACATAAAATTTAAATTGGTAGGTAAAATGTTTTATTTTTATAAGTTGAAATTAATGATTATGGTCATTTATTTTTTTACTTTTTTGCATTTGGTATTATATATTTTTATGTATAACTATATTTATCATTATATTTGCTAGTCCGATAATACTACCGATATTACCGGTCGGACCGGTAATACCGCGTACCAGTGGCTAGACCGGTATGACCACCGGTACGGTATTTAAAACACTGCGTATAACTACTGGGCTACAAGCTCGTGTTTATGATTTATAATTAGCTTCCTAATGTAAAACAAGGGTTTATGATATCTCTTAATTAGCGAGCTAGTAGCTCGTCGTAATAGTGCATATCTCGGTTTTGCACTCTAGTCGTCTTTAAGAAATAAGCTCAGCAACTCGACTTTATGCTTTTGTATGGATCTTAGTTATCAGCCTTACTTGGTTTTTACTCTTGTACTCTTTTTTGGCCACCAACTCTTACTAGGCTTAATCCTTTGCTGTCATCTATTGAATCATAAGTTCGGTGATATGTTGAGCTCTTTTGCTTTTATCTACCGAGCTAGAAGCTCAGCTATACGCCGTATTCGATATTTAGCTTCCGTGATATAAGCTCGACTTTACATTGCAATCGTTCTTGTAGCTACCAAGCTTACAAGCTCGTCTTTACGCTATATTCTTGTATTCAACTGCCGTGTGTATTAGCTTGACCTTATGGTTTCTTGTCTTTATCTGGTGAGCTCGAGGGCTCGACCTTATGCTAATGACCTCTTTATTTGCCAAGCTCGAGTGCTTGGCCTTATGCTAACGTCTTCTTTAGTTGCCAAGCTTGAAGGCTCAGCCTTAGACCAACTCCAATCGAGCTGCAAACGCATAATCAGCTTGAAAATTTTGCTCCTACCGAACTGCAATTTTTAAGGGCCATTTTCTCTCTCCAAAAAACCCATCTACGCGTTTCTATTGTTCACTACTGCAAAAACTTTGTGCAATTTTATTTTGGCCGTGTCTTTTTTGCAATTTCATTTTAGCTCGTCTTTTCATATTTTTATATATGGCTATATAAATTTATTTTCTTTTATTTATTACATATATTTGACATGTTTTGGTGTCTAATACATTATTTATATTTATTTAAAAATATATTATATTTTATTGTTTTTTGAATTTGGAATAATAAATAATATTGACAAGCTAAAAATAATAACTAAAAATATGACATGAAAATTGATCTAAAAATAGACAAGCCAATAATATTTTTTCGGTTAGAGATGGTGTTATGCTAATGTTTTCTTTCGCCGCTGAGCTCGAGGGATCGGCCCTATGCTAATGTCTTCTTTTGTCTCCGAGCTCGAGGACTCAGTTTACACTAATGTCTTTTTTAGATGTCGAGCTCGAGGGCCCAACCTTATGCTAATGTCTCTTGAGCCTCATACCTCGACCTTGTGCCATGTCTTGTTGTAGCTCGTTAGCCAGTAGGTCTTATGCCACACGCCTTTTGGCATCGCCCGAGCCTATAACTCGCTCTTTTGCTCTTATGCCATATATTCTTACAGTGCCTGTGCCAATAACTTGGTTTATGCCACGTCTTTTGGCAGCGCCCGAGCCTATAGCTCGGTCTTATGCCACGTCTTTGGCAAATCCCCAATTAGTTTTGGATGAAATAAAATTTAATTCATTCATAATTCAAAATTTATCTCATATAGCGTGGTCGTTCCGTCAAGAGTTTTTGAAATGGTGAGATTTCGTATGCTGTCTTCGATTTTTTTCGTAACAATCAGCAGGTAGAATCATAATTCTTCCCAAAAACGACGCCAATTTGATGTGGTCGAATTATCAGCCCACCAAGATTTTCGGTTGAACTGCCTCGTCTCGAACGCCTTGAACACAAACTGGATCATTGCAAAACAACCCTAGGGGCAGGCCCCCGGCGTAGTCACCCTGACGCTCAAGTCAGAAATCATGTACTCTATATATCTTAATCATATAGCTTATTCAGAGCGTGAGTCTAGAAAGTGAATCTGGATCCTTTATAATAAGAGATTGAATGGCTTATTTCCCATGACAAGGGGTTTCTTTAATCACCAAGAATCAAATCGAGCAATAGATATACACAATTACTTGGATATCTCTTGATAAATCTTCGTGGATACACATAATTTAGTACTGTATATGTTTAAACCGTAGAACCCGAGTCGAAACCTGACTAATATTATGGATGCTACATTAAGTGGCCTATCTAATACATACGCCTCTGCTTGTATCAAGAGTTGTCTTGAGATCAACTTCATTAAATTATAGTCTTTCATGCTATTTGGTTATTAATCTGATTACTACGATGTGGGCAGATAGTAAATCTGTTTCTACTATAGAGTAAAAAGGTACTTTGTGTAGGTTATGGTTCAGTGGGTATTCGTTTGATTTTGGCCTACTGTTTCTAGTTTGGATAGAATTGTTTTGCAAGCTATAGCAATAATTTAGTTGGTAATGGGAGGTTTCTCCCCTGTTAATTTAAATTGTCATAAGAGGCAAACTGAATGAGGAGCTAGTTAAAAAGTCACTAACCTATTTATCAAGTAAAATGATTATATTTGTCATAAAAACAAAAGGCATAATTAGAGGAAGCTAAGCATGCACAGTTATTTCAGAAAGGAGGATGATGTCCTTTCAATCTGAACATGGGTTTTCTTACGCATATGATACTCTTATCAATCACCGACGAATAGAATGAGTGGTTGGTGGTCCAAAGAGTATGTATAGCATGGATTATTCTACAATAACTACTACTGTACAATTCCTTAATTATCTCTGGTTTTAATCACTAAAATGGTGGAGGAACTGATTTAGTAAACTTTGTTGGACAAAGTGAACAGCTCGTAAAAAGTATCTTGTATCGGTGTATACATTTTCATTGTTATGTAGCGAAAGAGATGGTAGAATGAAAGGAAATTACCATAGTTTTTGGGATATTAATTTGTGCTTACCATTGCTACATGCTCTAATTTAGTATATAATAGCGTTGTCAGAAGCATAAGTATAGACAGACATAAGTTGTAAATTTGTCATAGTTGAGGCTGTTTGACAAATTAATTTTATCTGGGAAGCAATTATTCTGAGAAGTATCGATCATCTCTGGTAGTTGTTTCGTACTTATCATCAATAAATTCCATTCTCCGTTATCATGCTTTTCCCTGATTTTCTACTCCAAACATGTAGATTATGAGGTCAACTAGTGTAAAGCGTATAAAGATCGGTTCTATACAAAATTTGTAGTATGAAAAAGAGCTGATAACTTATAGTTTCTCTTAGATGAGGTTTAATAATTTATCCATGAGTGATGAGACTGGGTAAGTGTATAAATTGCTGTTCTTTTTAAAGAAGAGTAAGAAAAAAAAAAAAAATTGCTGCTGTATAAGTCCTGAATTTTTTATGCCAATTCTTGAAATATATGGAGGCTGAAGCCTGGACAAAACAAGAAGAGTACAAATAGGTGGTCCTTTCTGGAAACTACTGAAAATGACAATGAACATAACAAAAAGACAGTAGGTACAAATCCAAGAAAATCTGTAACAAGTTTCTGGTATATCCAACTAGTGAATGTCACAATGATTGCATGGCTCTGGGAACAAATTTTTGTATTATTTTGTTGAGCTTACGGTTTTCTGGCATTGCTTCAATAATTGCAACGTATGGATTTATCAGATTTATCAGATTTTACGTTGAGCTTAAGAAACCACTAATTTTCCCTATTCAACCCACTTCCGTATGGATTTATCAGATTTCTCTGTGTCTTGTATAAATAAAACCTTGATTCTCTGTATATCTTTTGCGAATCATATTCGATTCAATTAACTGTTTCAAAAGGTAACACGGAAAGCTTTTCGACGTAAAATCTATTTGTTTTCGTGTCTTACATATCCCAATCCGAACAAAATGGTAGATGCAACTACATTGTGACTAACTAACAAGACAATTCAAACAAGAACGGAAATGAAGACTGCCTATTCTAGATGATTTGGCATTCTTGTTGCTCATATATTTCAACAATATTACTCCTTCTAAAGANATCACTCACGACTACTTGCCTACATCACAACAGGCACGAGCTCCTCCTTTTCGAAGCCCTTCGTGAAGGCCTGGACGAGGAAATGGCCCGCGACCCCCGTGTCTGCGTGATGGGCGAGGACGTGGGACACTACGGAGGCTCGTACAAAGTCACCAAAGGCCTCGCTGAAAAATACGGCGACCTCCGCGTCCTCGACACCCCCATCGCCGAAAACTCCTTCACCGGCATGGCCGTCGGGGCCGCCATGACGGGCCTCCGCCCCGTCATCGAGGGCATGAACATGGGCTTCCTCCTCCTCGCCTTCAACCAAATCTCCGACAACTGCGGCATGCTCCACTACACCTCCGGCGGCCAGTTCACCATCCCCACCGTCATCCGCGGGCCCGGCGGCGTCGGCCGCCAGCTCGGCGCCGAGCATTCCCAGCGCTTAGAATCCTATTTCCAGTCCATCCCCGGAATCCAGATGGTCGCGTGCTCGACTCCTTACAACGCCAAGGGCCTCATGAAGGCTGCGATCCGCAGTGAAAACCCGGTTGTTCTCTTCGAGCACGTCCTCCTTTACAATCTCAAGGAGAGAATCCCGGACGAGGAGTACGTGCTTTCGCTCGAGGAGGCGGAGATGGTGAGGCCGGGAGAGGATGTGACGATACTGACGTATTCAAGGATGAGGTATCATGTGATGCAGGCGGCGAAGAGTTTGGTGAACAAGGGTTATGATCCGGAGGTGATTGATATAAGGTCGTTGAAGCCGTTTGATTTGTATATGATCGGGAATTCGGTGAAGAAGACGCATAGAGTGGTGATTGTGGAGGAGTGCATGAGGACGGGAGGGATTGGGGCGAGCTTGACGGCGGCGATAAACGAGAATTTTCACGATTATTTGGATGCGCCGATTGTTTGTCTTTCGTCGCAGGACGTGCCGACGCCGTATGCAGGGACGTTGGAGGAGTGGACGGTGGTTCAGCCGCCGCAGATTGTGGCGGCTGTTGAGCAGCTCTGTCAGTAGAAGGAGAGCATGACCTCTATTGAATGTGGTGAGATGAAGTTGAGGTCAGTTTTAGTCTTGAAACTTTTTATTATTATGCTTTGCTACAAATTGTTTCGGTNTGAAGCCCGAGTATGGTTTTGTTATTGATTTGAGTGTTAAAGAACTGCAGGTCATGTTTTTTGCCAGGTGAATGGGGATTCTGTGTTGTAGTTTAGAGGATGCTTGGATACAAATTTTTCCAAAAAATTTCAATTAATTTTGACTAATCACTTCTTTTTTAAGTCAAATCTAACTCAACTTTAATTCAACATCACTATCCCTCAATATTATAGTATAATTAAATAATACCACTCAATCAAAATAAAAATACTTTATATCCAAGTCTTCGGATGTGCTTTTATGCATAAGTGGTATAAAATATTTGGGTTGTCATCAATGTGTGTTTAAGGTCAGGCACTTTTGCTTCAGTCTATGAGTAGATGTGTGTGTTCCTTGAACGAAGTCTTGTATCCACAGGACTGGCAAAGCATATCAAGTGGTAACTTTTTGTTTTTGTTTTTGTTTCACTGTGCTTTATTTGCGATATTAGTTATTTTGTACATGCATATCCATTATACAGCTACTCTCAAAATATATATAAAAAATATTTAAAACATATAAATATGTATTATTTATTTATAGATAGTATCTCATGAGTGGCATACACAATTATGCAAGAGTCAGTAGATGACAATTCACAAATTGCTAATGTGAGAGGGACACGCAAAAACTTGTCAACTATTTTATGTCATTGGTCCACGTAAACGACGAAACAATTTTTTTATGTACTTTTTTATCATAAATCGCTGCAATTATTTATTCAGCAGTCTTTTTATATTCATGATTATTTATTCGGCAGCTTTTGAGCAAAATAGTTTCGAATAAAAATTGTCTGATAAGATTTATTTAGATTGGTATTATTTGCCCTTTCTATGTGTGGCTTGAGGACGTCGAGAGTTTAATAAGAAATTTCCTGAAAAGCCAATTTAGAGCATCTTCAATGGCTTGTGCATTGTTCCATTCCATCGCCACATGACCACAAAAATCCAATGTAGCATGTAAAATTTCTAGAAGTCTTTCTAGATATAGAAAGACTTCTAGACATCTTATATCCATATTATATTATTTATTTTAGGGTTAATTGTAAATAAAATTTTAACTTTTTGTTTAATGGCAAATAAAATTCAACTTTTTCAATTTGGCAAAAAAATACTAAACTTTTAATAAGTGTTGCAATTGTGTCTCAATCACCTTCCGCCGCTGCCGGACCACCGCCAACCGCCACCCGCCGCCGGCCAACTTCGCCGAATGTTGAAATTTTTTATATGATTTTGTAGCTCTCCTCCGTGCCGACAACATATTCAAGTTTTACGAAAAAATTCCGACAATAAGGCTTTTAATTTTTCGGTCAAAGTATGTAGATCTATAAATTTTCTCCGGCGTTCTTTCGCAATTTTGTAGCTCTCCTCCGTGCCGACAACATATTCAAGTTTTACGAAAAAATTCCGACAATAAGGCTTTCAATTTTTCGGTCAAAGTATGTAGATCTATAAATTTTCTCCGGCGTTCTTTCGCAAATTCCCGGTGACTCGCTTTGACCCACGTGAATCCGAAGGTACTGTTGAACTCCTCTCGCAAAGCTGCATCTAGTGACGTCCACCTTCGCCGAAACCGGTGACTTTTTCCGATGACGACTTTTCCGGTCATCTCCTTATCGTCGGAATTTTTTCGTGAAACTCGGATATGTTATCGGCACGGAGGAGAGCTACAAGATCATGTAAAAATTTTCAACATTCGGAGAAGTTGGCCGGCGGCGGGTGGCGGTTGGCGGCGGTCTGGCGGCAGCGGAAGATGATTGAGACACAATTGCAACACTTATTAAAGGTTTGGTATTTTTTTGCCAAATTGAAAAAGTTGAGTTTTATTTGTAATTAGATAAAAAGGTTAAGATTTTATTTGCAATTAACCCTTTATTTTATATATTTCTCTCTACCAACTAATTATTTTCCTACACATGTCAATTTATTCTACAATTGACATTCATCATTGGAGACAAACTATTTTTATTTTTTTCTCTACAACATACATATCAAAATAGACATTGTACCATTGGAATTTGGGAATTGTTTTTGTTTTTTCTTTTTATCTTTCTATTATTTATGTTTTAGGACATCAAATGTAGAATTTTTGGGGCGTTTATTGGACATGTATTCTATAAATCAGATATTTAAATAATAGAGAAAACCGTGACACTTTAGAAAGCAAAACTGGGAGATACCATAATCAAACCGACCCATTTTTGTGATATATGTTTGAAAAAAAAAAAATCTTTACTCCATTCTCAATTCTACTTTCGGTATTTCCCGATGGAAACTTTTAAAGTATTCTACTATTCTTCCTCAACGGATGTATTATTCAATAGCTCTTGCCTTGCCTTGCCCTTCCCTGCCTAAGGATATAGAGATAGCCGAATTTATACTGAATACATGTATTCGAGTTTGTTTCAATATGTACAATATCAATCTATGGACAGCATGAACTCCCGAGCCGAAAGGGCAAAAGATGGCTGCTTCTTTTAAGTCCACATCTTAGTATTACTTTACTCAACAAACTTTGCTGAAGGGGAAAAATATTCAAACAAAAGACGTAAGTTATCAAATTACTAATTTTATGAACATGAGTCTGACGAGTAAAATTGTGTTTATAAGTATGATAAATTACATTATAACTTATTTATGGTTATCAAATTGTATGAACTATTTTGACCATCGAATTGTTTTAGCTCTTTTGACTAGCGGATAAGTTTAGCGGTTATAACATGTGTTAGGTAAATTAGATATTACTGTATAAAATTATTTGGAAATTCATTTGTATACTTTAATATTTTATTTAACAAGAATAAGTTAATTTTGTAATTGTTTTATTAAAATATTTAAAATCAAATAAATAAGTTTACATCAATTCAAAATTAATAAATTAGTCCATCAAACTTTTTGAAAAGACTGTACAACTTCTCAATCAATTTATTTTTTTTATTTTTTTATTTTTTCTCAACCATTGCAATTCTAGAAGTATCATATGAGTAATTATATCATTATAAATGCTATTCCTACTAATAGTTCAATCCACCAATCATGTAATACAAAACGTTCTAAATTGGAACATTTTCATTCTTAGCACTTTATATCAACCCCCTGCCTGAAAAGCTATCTTACCAAACATGGTCGTGGTAGGGGAGATCTGTTGATGTTCTCCTGTTTCGGTTTTTGGTAAGGCTTTCCTGTTCAAAGACCGAATTTGTAATCCTTTGGTTACCGGATGTTGTTTTATTTGAGTTAATGAATGAAATTTATGATTTGAAATAAAAAAAAAANTATTGTGGCGAGCACTATTTAATTCGTATGAAGATATATCAGCATCAGGAGTATACTGTTGGTGCACATTTAAAATATCCCATAATAGTTAACAAAATATCATATTGTTATTAAAATATAATAAGAACAAAAATCTATTCCTCCACATCAATATTAAAAATTTTGGACTTGATATATATGTAGTGCTCGCATCGTCCATATAATTATTAAATATTGCTGTCCATTTGCTTCATGTCCAAAACGTCCAATAATTTCACTTTTTTAAATAATTACTGTTCTACGTGTTCACAAAGTCAATCCCACTTTCATCCCATTGGGATGAGAAAAATAGTTTTTTGTCTTTCCACTGTTGATATCAGTATCACCGTCGGTGCCTAATTAGACGTGACCAAACTTCGTTTCCGGGTAGAAACCGTCGGTTTCAGCCTGGAATTTGGATGATCCTGAATCGCCCTCAATATATGTACGATTGGTTCATTGAGCCGATCCCGAACCACTAGTTCAGTAAACTGTCGTGTTTGGGCCGACTCGATTCAATTAAAAAAAAATAAAAAAAAAAAAAAAAAGTCCAATCGTCGATTTGGTTTTAGTTCGAAACTGGCCCAACAGTTTAGAAATTACAAATATGTGGCCAAGAACCTGCGAAATTACAAATATGTGGCCAGGAACCTGCCCGATCAAATCACGAGCTCGGCTCAGGGCCCGTTGACCACGGGCCGGGTATATGCCCAGCAACCAAAGTATCATGACTTATTAGATCGTCTAACGTAAAATTGTATTAGATGGCATGACATTTCACCTTTTTTTAAGAATTAATCAACGTTTTTTACTTCTATCACTAAACAAATTAATTTTTGAGACATTTTACGCGATTGTAACATGTGATACCTCGACCCGATTCGAAGTCATCCGATCCGTCTTCGAACCGGTGAAATGACCTGCGAAACAACGTTAGAGTTGTCCCGAAGTAGAAACTCTCATGCTCAAGTCATTATTGAAGGTGGAGATGTATGCAGTATATGTAAGTATAGAATGCTCACACAGCATACAGAGATGATGATCATGCTTAACCCCTTAATTATATAGAGATGCTACCTTGTTGCCCAAGATCTGCCCGATCTTGTTGCTGCTTGAGTGGTCGAACTACCCGATCACATTGCTCGAGTGCCCGAACTGCACAATTCTGTTACACACGTGTCCTTCCCTTCGTGTACTTTTTATCTTAATTATATTCATACTTATCTATTATCTGATGTGTTCACAGTAGTCTACCTCATTACGTAGTCGCTCTAAGCATAACTAAGTTATCTCCTTGGTGTCCTTTATACTTTACCATTTTGGTCTTCACCGAGTAACTCCAATTTTTAGGTTTTTAATAGACATCTTTACTTCCAGGTCGCATTTCCATCAGTCTACCCTAGAGTCCTACATCAACATGTTGTTGAACTGGTTTGTCTCGGAGGCCCTTATCGACGTGGTGTTCTCTCGACCTCGATTCTTCATGTGTCCGACCTCCAGCCGAACTGTTGGTCCTACTCAAACCACTCGAGCTACTCAGGTCGCATACGACTTGGTGATTAGTATAATATACCATATCATCTGGTTCCCTCCATTCTGGTCGAGTTAGGATGACTCGACCTAAGACTATAATCAAGTATCTTCAATTATTTTATTAACGACATACTTCCCCATCAATCGAACTATTCTTCCCCTTCTTCAGGTCAGGACGAACGACCTCGACCTAGGTAGGATTTTGACTTCAACATTCAAAAATTCAAAATTACGTGATACCTTTCAAATCACCCGACACCCTTTCAAATCAACGTAACCGCCTCGACTCTTGTTTCATTCTCAAACAATGCGTTCATTAATGATGCTTCTATCCCATCCATTCGTTTTACTTTTATCAGGTGGTTCTGATCAACCTACCCCTTTAACTCATAATTTTAATCTCACTCATTTATTTTGACCTACATAAAACGGTCATGATCGACCTATCTCTTCAACATCCTTTTTTTAACTCGTCCGTCCATTTTGACCTACATTGAAAAGTACTTCTCGACCACCTCCTCACTTACTCAATCTTCAGTCTCGTCCGTCCATTTCTAACTGCATCGAACGGTCCTGCTTGACAACCTCTTGATCTTCAATATCATGCGTCCATTTTGGCCTTGATCGGACAGTTTAGGTTAATTGTCCATTTTGTGTGTGTCACCATAATAATTAGGCGAGTCGACTCGTCATACTTTTATAATAAAAATGTATTAGTCATATTATGCAATGTCACATTTATATTTATATTATTTCTTAGAGTATAAAATTTTATTCTAAGTGGATACATATTTATTAAAAAATTATGTAACAGTTAAACATGAGTAGTTTTTCAAAAGAAAACTATTTCACATCGTGTCCTCATTGTAAAACGTTGTTATCATAATGGACCTATTGCAGCACAATTTAGTTCAATGATGTGCTGGCTTCCCGTTGGCTACTTAACAAATCCAGACCACTTAGAACTGGCCAATCTTAGCCCGCCACAAATAAAGCTTGATTCGCATGAGAATTGATATCAGAATTGAGACATTTTGTCTCAATTGAATACAAAAGCTGCCCACCATCAACCAAATTGAGTTGTCCTTTTCTTCATTAAGTTGATAAATTCTTATTGGGAATTCATAATTTGCAGTATGGAGAACATAAATTGTTCCACCAATCAGATGTTCAGATATATTGAAGAACTTATGTGTAAAATGTTTCCTCGACTTTTTTCTTTTTATAATACTTATGGAAAATTGTGAAAAACATTAGAAATAGACCCTGTTGTCTGCGGTGCCGCCAAAATGAAATGGACCAACTAATTCTTATACTCGGACAATTCATATGCACTATCCGAGAATACCCTTTTCCGTTTAAGAAAAATAACAACCTCTTTAGACTTTTTAGTTTTTACTAAGAAATAATGAACATATAATTTGACTGATACACCCCTAATAAAATAAATCATGCTACACTGCCAGAGTGGTTTAGATATTGTGTTATAAAAAATATAAATCATCCATTATTCGTCTCATCATAATATTATTGAAATAAACAATTCACATTATTATTTGATAAGCTAGTTAACAAAACAGATTAACTTTACAGACTAGTCTTGAATAACATTTCTTCTTCTATCTTCATCATTATCTTATTAGGAAAATTTGTTTTCTTTCTTAAAATAAGAGATAAATAAAATAAGAGATAAAGTTAGAAATTTGAGGCAAACAATATTAAAATGGCAGGATTATATTTTAAGATTCTATTTTGTTGGTAGCCATACAAATAAATTAAATAATGCTAAAAAAAAAATAACATAGTGGGTCTGATTCTGATAGAACCGAAAGTGACTTTTATATTGTGATTTTTTCTCACTTTGCCTGCTAAATTTAGAACAAGGTGTAGTAGAAAGGTAAGACCGTGGAAAATACACGAAAACAGAGGCACAACAGAGCAAAACAGAGAGAGAGAGAGAGAGAGAGCTATGTGCAAGTGCAAATCACAGAACATTATTGAACTGTATATTGTTCTTTAATCAAACTGTAAAATATGCAGAAACCAGCTGAGCTTCCATTTCTACCTACNAAACTTCTAAATAACAAAAAATAAAATAAAAATAAAAAATCGAAAACCCAAATCAAGCCTGATTGGCAAGGTCCTTGGAGCTCACAAACGTTCCGTGAAAACCGTACGGCACCCTAGACGGAAGCTTAACACTGGCTTCCAATTCCATAGTCACGGCATTCACAATCTGCAGCTCCGACTTGCACGCCTTCTCATCGTGCACAAAAACCAGCACATACCCATCGTCCTCCCGCTCGCACTCCGGGCCCCGCGGAACAAACATCGGCTCCCCACCAAACTTCTCCTCTCCGTAAACAAACTTCTCCACCCGACCCGTGAACAAATCCACCTTGGCGAAACCCGACACCTTGGGCCACGGCTCCGCGATCGCTAGATACGCGTAGCGCGTCTTCCTCCCGAGCCTGTTCCTGTTGACCATCCCGGCCTCCAAATTCACCCGATCCTCCTCGGACAAAATCGCCCTTCTCCTCGACTCGCCCGTTTTCAAATCGAGCCGAATCTCAGACAACACGCTTTCTAACCCCTCGTCGCACTCGTTGAATACCGAGTCGGGAGGAGTCATGCACGAGCCGATCACAACCACCTCGTCTGTGTCGGGCTCTTCCCACGCGTTCCACAGGTGGAAGCAGAAGCAGTCGGGCACGTCGACCCACTTGATCCCGCGCGCGTCGCGCGCGTTTTTATCGAGCACGCCGAACCGAGACATTTTGTTCTCGTCGTACACGACGGGGGACCCGCCGCACGCCATCTCGGACAGGCGGAACACGACCTGCTGGTCGGGAACCACCACGAAATTTTCGGTGATGGCGAAGTCGTGCATCATGGTGGGGTCTGTCACGGGGATTTCCACGTCGTCCGATTTCGTCCCGTCCCTCGAGAATTTGAAGTACTTGAGGTAGGGTTTTCGGACGACGTCGTAGCTTAAAGCGAACATCTCGCCGGTGGACGGGTCGAGCTTCGGGTGGGCGATCATGGTGGACGACAGCTGGCGGTCGAAGTCGTAGCGGCCGACGGTCTGGAGGTCGCCGTCGAGGGTGACGCGGACGTGGTAGGGGAGGTCGTCCTCGGACATGGCGAGGAGGCGGGAGTTGAAGAAGACGAGGCCGGCGTTGGCGACGCCGGTGCCGTGAGTGGGGTCGACGAGGCCGAAGAGGCTGCGGGCGTAGAAGAGGGCGAGGCGGGCGATGCCGGAGTGGCCGTGGAGCTCGCCGATGGCTTTGGGGAAGATGGGGCGGCCGAGGGCGAGCTCCTGGGAGAGGCGGTGGGTTTGGGTGAAGCGGCAGGAGTAGGAGGCGGTGGTGGCGTCGTGGAGGGTGACGGCGTGGATCATGCCGTCTCCGTCGAAGAAGTGGTGGCCGGCGAGGGGCTGGAAGAGGGGGTTGGCGCCGTTGCGGAGGTAGACGCCGCGGATGGAGTCGGGGATCTTGCCGGAGACGGGGAGGGAGTGGCGGACGGGTTGCTCGGGGACGGGGGAGAAGTTGCCGGAGATCTGGATGTGGGGGTCGGCGGTTTTAG